AACAGACGCCGTAGCCGCAGTGGCTCGAGACATTAACTTTCGCCATTTGTGGCGTCAGCTTCGCGGAGCCGGATGAACGTCCAAGCGATCCAGCGGCATGCAGACAGACTGGAGGTATGTACGTCCTGCGAAATCGTGGATGATGACGACGACGCCAGCTGTATTAGTAACGAAAGCGATGACGTCGTACAGAGAACGACGCTGTGGAGATGGACAATGCGTTCGTGAAGTCGCTTCAGATTGGAAGCGGCACATTGCCGACGGGTGCAACGCAGCAGCGGTCTGCTGCTTTACGAGGGATGACCTGGTCTCTAGGGTCGGGGTTGTATGAGGAAGACATACGCCCCTACCCGGGGCTCAACATGGAAGACGCGGAACCAGTCCTTGAGTTGCGCAGCCAGTGTCATTCGCCGCAGTTGACGCTGTTTTATTTCTTACCAAAATATTTGTGCATTATAATCACGGAGGAGACGAACCGATACTGCCAGCAAAAAATCAAGAGACGCGCCCAAGCCATCCTTGTTCAACATGGACCTCGTCGGAAAGAGATACTGGCGCAAGTACGCCGCCGATTGAAGGAAAAAGCTGGCTATCAGACACACAAAGTAATGCATGTCATTGGCATTCTCATCGCTCGAATGCTGTGCCCACAGAAGAGAGGTTTTGCAGCTCACTGGTCAATGACGGAGGACAATGCGGTACCACAAGTAACTTCGGGCGGTTCAAGGGGCACAACAGGTGCCAGGAGATTTTTTTTGAGACTTACACTTCGTAGATATCGAGGCAGATCGATCACGCGACAAACTGTGGAAACTTCGCCCAGTTATCGACAAGCTGCAGCAGCGGTTTCTGTCTGGATGGACTCTTCCTGCTGTTTTTCCTTCGACGAAGGGGTGCTTTCATCCACTTCCAGGCGCAACACTACTCGCATTTTCATGCCAGATAAGCCTCATCGGTACGGATCGAAAATGTGTATGATGTGTGATTTGAGAAACGCCTACTACCACAGGTTCGTCTGTTGTTTTTGCTAATGTCGTAAGTGACGGGTTCGGTACTGATATCTGACTGCCTATGTCGTCACTTACTAGACTTGAGATGTATGCTGGAAAGCGCAACGCAGGAGAAGGTGGAGACACTTCATTTGATCACAAGACAGGCGCTGCAGCAGTCGTCCGAAACATGAAGATGGTTCTGGAGTCAAAACAGCGTCACCCGTGGCATCTTGTGGTTGTGGATCATTTCTATTAATCGATTCTGCTGGCCATCGAGCTGCTAAGTATGAGTGTCTACGTGGTTGGGACTATAATGTCCGATAGACTTGGATTTGACAAACAAGTAAGAGAGCATCGGAAAACTAGACCTGTGGCTATTCCTCGAGGCTCCTTCCTGTTCTCCCGTTTGACGGCAGTCCCAAGCATGGTAGCGTTTCACTGGTGGGATCGCAAACCCGTGCACTACTTGTGCACCGTCTCCGCCATGACAATCTCGTCGATCCAGAGAAATGTAAAGAGAGTTGGGCCGGAAACGGTTCCATGTCCGGTAGCCGTCAATGATTATCAGCGCTGGATGGGCGGAGTGGACGTCCATGTCCAGCTCCGCCACCAGAGATTCTCATTGCAGACGTCTACAAGGTTCACAAGTATTACAAGTGTTTGTTCTTGGAGTTTGTGGATTTAGCGCTAGTGAATGCGTATATTTTGCACAGGGAGACGGCACGATTGGCACACCTGCGATGTCTCGTGGCGACTGGTTTTGCATTCTGTATAACCAACTTCTTCAACTGAAGGCAGCAGACTGTGGATGTGACGCCGCCTGCCAACTCCCAGAAGCGCATAAGAACACCCGTTCGGCTTTCACATGCGCTCGAGCAATCAGAAGATTGGGTGACGGTGAATGGTGTACCGAAGCGCCGCCAGCGATCCTGTAAGGTATGCGCGATGCTGCGAAACAACCCGAAGAAGACGTCGTATGCAACCACGTTCTTCTGTGAGCGCTGCTCTGTTGACTCGATTATATTTAGTCTAGATGGTTTTAGCTTGCTCAATGGCCTTCGATACGTCCGCAAGTGTCACTAAGTCCCTGTTCAGCTTCAAGTACATGACCACCTCGAGATTTTCGTGGCTCATGCGCTTCCTCAAATACCCGACGGAACTTTTGACGGTAAAAAAAACGCTCAGCAACTACGGACGTTGCAGGAATCCAGATTGCGTCGTTGAATTTCGACTGTGGTCCTGTGCGTGTGCGTGATCTATTCTTAAGCTTTTCATACAGATCCTCGGCGGCACGGTTACGTTTCGACCTTGGAGAAGCTGCTACGACAACAGCTGGCTATGATTGCAGCGGAGAGGTGACAGATAGACGATGCAAAGCCTTACGCTCGTTTCTCAGCAATGACGAATCTACACCAGCTTAAACTTTAGCTAGTCCGCTTTTAAATGTTGGTGACTCATCAGTATCTTCATCGGGAGCGAGATACTGGGCCCTTGTAGAGTATGTTGACGATCTCGGCGCTCTTCATGGTGTGCTGCTGGTCGCTGACTTTGCAAGTATGTGGCAAATTAGATAATGACCACGCAGCGAACTCCAGCTCTCTCTTACAAAGGTGTGCCGACCAAAATGGCACCAAAGAAAATTGGGTATTCGCTCGTAGGCTCGGTTTCGAGCGTTTGGTTGGCGGAACGCTATTCTACCGTGGAGGATTGGCTCTAGAAGCACAAAATTTGTGCTTCTATTTAATAGGCTCTAGGACCTAGGGGAAAATCTAAGATTGTGATTGTCGATCTTGATACAATCAATTATTGTGATTGACAATCTTGGCAATCCAACAACTCCAATCAATTTTTGCATACCTCTGGTTGGGCATACTGAGGTCAAATGTAGCAAACTTCAACTTTCCTTCTGAAAAAAACGAATTCACAAGTAAAGTCGACAAAAAATAATAAACAAGAAATGAATTGAACACTATCAGCCAGTCTGCGGCTTGCTTAAATGCATTTGCAGCTGTTCTTTTTCCAGAATTTGTTGTCGACGCAGGCGGAGATACTCCAACGCTTCGGGGCTCAACCCATCCTCGCTTCGTGTCATCACTTGCAGTTCCAACAAACGAGTGTTCCATTTCAGCCACCCCTCCGACACCGCTGCGTTCTTCTGCTTCCCGTCATTCACGTCTTCTGAAACCTCAGAAGACTCCGATGCTGGCACAAGTACAAGATCATCGGGACCATCACTCTCTCCTTCATGGTTATGGCTATCGGTAGGTTCTTGTAAAATGCTTCCGGTCAACTTACAAGAGGAGGCATCGCTATCTGTAGTACTTGTACACTTATCCAAACCGAGTAGTAGTAATCGTTTCAGGGTATGTTCCCAGTCTTTGTGTCGCTCCAGGATTTCCCATGCAGCGCGATACTTGAACCATTGGCCACATCGCGACCAATAAGCCTCCTGGGCACGCGAAACCATCGATTCGCGGTTTGTACGGCTGACAGAAGTGTCGCCCTTCAGCTCTTCCTCGTACAGAGTGTGGAAGACGACAATTTCCGCTCGCATCTCATACCAGAGCTGTTTCAGGACGAACTCGATGCCACTCGGGCGGTCTCGCTTCACTACTAAATCCAAGTACATACTCGAGACGTGGAGCCAAAAACACTCGTTCGATTCTTCAAGTCGTGGTGACATCTGTGCCCAGCTGCAGCAAACATTAGCCCACGCCAATGTTAAGTGCGTGACGGCCACTGTCTCGGTAGTTTGTTCACTCTGTTTGAGGGGTTTTCGTGTCTCGATTTCTGTTATGAGCTCAGCGTCTTTATCCTTTGATACTGGAAGCCCTTCAGGCTCACTTGAGGTTCCAGAGTCACTATCAGAATCGTCTTCTCCGTCGTGTCCCGCAGCTGCTTTCGATTTGTCAGAGCGATCAGGCGTCACACAGGAAATAGTTTCAGACGTGCGACTCAATTCTTCGACTTGAATGTAATTGGCGTTCCCACACCTACCGGTAGCCCCCAACAGAGCTGTACAGCTAGTCTCCTCGCCCTCGTCCATCAAATCAACCGGTGGCTCCACTCTCGTCGGCATCCTCTTTCTCCGTTTGGCTCCTGTGATCCTTATTTCCGGATTCGACGACGGCGTTGGCAATGAAATGCTGGCTGGTCTCTTTGTTCGTGTCTTCAAGTCTCCACGATGTTGTGTGGCAAACTCCATTGTTAAAAGTAAGTGATCCTGAGCGGCCGATTCCGGCTTCTTTGTGATATTATCCCCACCCTGTGATCTCTGTGTTTTCCCTTCAGCATCGGTAGTAGCTGCAGTCTTTCCAATCTTACCTCGTAGTATCAAAGGTTTGAGTACCCGATCCCACTTGGCATGATGAGTCAGCAAATTCCACACCTCCAAATACTCAAAGCTTTCTCCCATTCTGTCTCGATAAAGGATCTGCGGCTGTGTCAATAATTTGTGACGGTCTTGTGTTGGCAGTTTATACAAATGTTTGGCCGGATCTTTTGGCCATATCTCTGTTAAAATCCCGTTAAAGTCACTGATAGTTGTGCGAACTGTTTCCCACTGCCAGCATAAAGTCTGAGCATCTTCAGCATCAGCAGGATCGTCAAATTTTGCACTATATCTTTGGTGCACCAGCGCCCAGAACGTTTCATTGTCTTCCGCCGAATACTTTTCGCTGCATGGATCAGACGAGTCCAGGAGCTCGGGTGTGAGAGATTCCACGTTATTGACGACCGTCATCCAAGCCTGGGCGAGTGCTGTGTAGGCTGCTGGTGTCCCTGGTGCGAGGCGAGAGGAGCACGGGGCTGGGAGGCGCCATAGACAGCACTTGAAGTGAGTTATTCAATAACTTTTTGCGAATCAAAAGGTATCTTTCACAGAAACCCTTTACGTTTCTAATTGGGATACCTTTTATGAGGGTTCATTTTCAGTCAACTAACGGAAACGTCAAGCCTACGAATCGAAGTTCGAAGATAAGCTTCATAACGTATAATCAAAAAATGAATTTAATTCATGGCTAAACCCTGAGCCAAGTGCTTTACCTTCGGCATTATATGACCGCAGTCGTCACGATTACCTTGATTTCCCCGACCGTCGCTTGTGCCATATCCTAGCGAACACAAACAGATACCTTGACTGTAGTCGCAGTAGCCTCTGTTGGAGCAAACTGCGTTTTCCTTTGTGCCCTTTTGGCTTACCACGCCATGTATCGCAACTCCATTATCAGCGGTGACGACGCTCACTGCTCCATTTGATGCAGTAAGCCCCGTCGTCTCCGCTCTTAGCGGTGGAATGTCACCGTGCTCGAGTGGGAAGGCAATAGTGATTATGTTCTCAGCTGACCCTGGAGCTGAGCACGCTTTCGTTCCGGAAGAGTATTCCACCTCAAGATCTTCAAAGCCGAAGGAAATCATGAGGATATCTCGAAGATCATCCATCGTTACGTCAAATGGGATATCGACCGAGGTTAAGGTGCGATATTGAAGACGAAAAACGCCTCCAGTCGCAGTACACTTAAGCAGCTGGATCTCGTCGACTTGGTCCGTTGTGACAGGATCGTCCCCCTTTAGGCAGGACCCTATTCAAGCATAAACAGTTCTTGTTAATCAAAAACAACAAGTATCAAAACAGTGATAACCCACTTTTGCTACAGTCGTAGGCTTCGTAACCTGGATCGCACTTGCAGCCCAAAATGTTATCGCGGTCGAAGGTTAAAACGTTGTTTGGATCTGTGCCGTAGTCAAAGACTAGCGAGGGCGAGTCTGAGTCTGCTTCTAGCGACAACTGACGAATGGTCATGCACTGACCGTGGCCACTGCAAACAGGATCCCCAGGGCATTTCACTGTGCAGTGCAGCGATGACAAATTAGAACTCTACCTTGCAGCTACCCACCTCTCTGTACTTACTAAATTCGCACGCAGAGCCCTCAAATGGAGTGTAGCAAGAGCACTGACCAGTGGTACGGTCGCAAATGCCTGCATCAGAACACTCTGACCGCTGGTTGTGTACGGTATTGGTTACTGACCGAGTGGTGAACCACGATGGCCCTGACGGACACTTTCCTGCAATTTTTCAAGTAAGAAAAAAATGTCACCGCATTGGATTTCTAGTCTAGATAACTATATATCTTACGCGACGAGCAATCTCCAGTCGTCCAGCCTTTCTCGCAAACGCACTTGTAAGACGGCGAGCCGGTGCAGTAGCCGTGTCCACTACAAACGAGTTCACCCACACAGGCTGAGATCGGCCCGCCATACAAGTTTTTATCGTTGGCACATCCGCAATCGCCTCGCGTTCCAATATTTCCATAGCCGTCACTCGATCGGAAGCCCGGCATGGGGCTGGTGTAGCATTTGCATTGACCCGTTTCTATTGTCACAATAATATCGTAAAGAATATTCAAGTTTAACCAGAGAAAACGAGCAGCACCAACCAAAATTGCAATCTCCTCGGCTGCTGCAGAATTCCCATTCCTTAGTGCCTTGAACCGAGGTTCGTCCGCCTAAAATGCCACCTGCGGAGGTCGCGAACACACTGCCACCCATAAGATAAACGACACCCTTGAGCGTTCCTAACACTTTAATCGGAGATTGCCTAGTCCACACAGTAGCCAGAATCAGATACCAAGGTTCTTAAGGATTCGTATAGCCGCACTTACGGTCCGAAGTCCTGAATAAACTCGATCATGATAGGGTTTGCCGTCCCACTAGTGCAAACTGTTGTTGCTGTACCGCCAAACGTGACTTTGACCGTAGAAAGTGTCTTGATCGTAGTGAGAATCTTCTTAAAGTCTTCCAGCTTTGTGTCGAACGATATTTCCGCGCTTTGCCCTTTGAAGAACAAGAAAAACGATCCTCCGGTGCCAGTACACTGCACAATCTGCACCTCATTCTTTTGACCTGTTGTCATCGGGTCATCTCCACGTGGACAAGATTCTAAAAGTTTAAAGAAACGTGTGAGTTCAAATCCACCAAATTCACATTTCTCAAAGTAAATAATTCGTACTCAATGAGCAATCGTAACCGTGGTATCCTTTGCTACACTTGCACCCGTACATCATATCTGCATCCCACGCCGAGTCGTACAAAGGTTCTGTGCCCACCGCATACATTTCCGATAGATCTTTGAGTGACATGCATCGCCCAACGTCGTTGCAGTCACTGGCACACTTCACTAAGCGTCATCGGGGGGGGGGGGGGTCAGCAAGTTACATCCGATACTGTGAATATCGTCAGTATCCGATATATACGTACTGCGTTGACAGGCTGAGCCTATGAAGCCCTCGTCGCATGTGCATTTGCCTTCTTCATGGTCGCACAGTCCCTTGTTCGAGCACTCGACGACGTAGTGGGCGTCGTCCATCGCTCGCGCTGGAGCCACCCATGCAGGCCCTAGCGGACAGCGCTCTGCCACACCCGGTAAAGTTTATGAGTAATGCTCTATGTTGCCATATCTGTAGATGCTCACTCACTCTGCGAACAGTCAAAGCCAAAGTGTCTAACGTCGCACTCGCACAGGTTACGGGTGTTGCAGGTCCCGTGTCCTGAACAGATCTTGCTATTGTACACACCACGAGCACAGGCCGCATCTGTTGCATCACATCGCAGTAGCAGCGCCAAAAGTATGAGCGGGGAACACCGCATTTTGGCTAATTAACACTGCGAGTCGTACTGTTTCGCTAGCAGCTTCAACGTACATGTACTAACGGACGCGCCGTATTAGAGTCCGGACTATATTTAATAGTGCCGCCCGAAAGTGACAGAGAGGGCTTTAAACAGGTGAGGACTTTATTCCTTGCTGATATGATCGTGTACCAGGTTTAATATCGTCTAAACGCATCATCTAACTCTAAAGGATTTAACAGATCGATGTCTTCGTCCATATGCGGTTCCTTCGACCACTTTTCACGAAATTTAGCGCCATTCACATCGTGCTTGGATATAAACCACGACGAGGGGTATCTCGAGAAGCCTGCTATTTCAGCGCTCCGCATGATTGTTGCCTCATCCGTGTCTCGCCACGCGCGGAGGCCTCAATCGCAAACGGTGTCAACACTTGGCATACGTGGGCTACCAAAGCGAGTGCATTCGACTCGGTCCGACTCTTTCCAAGCATTTTATATGTACAGTAGGTCCTTAACACGACATATTGAATCCACTTGATCACCTCTTGCTTACGCTCACTGCTAACCGACTGCCTTTGATGAGGCATTATTGGAAATGACGGAAAAGTGTTTCTTTCTGTAGAATGGATAGTCAGCAAGTTTGTAATAGCAAATTTTGGTAGCTTTTATATGGACGAGTCCTTGGACTCTATTCGGGAGAGGCTTGTATTTAATAGTGCAGGCATGTTATATATAGCACTTTTATTTATATCAAACAGACAATTATTAGACTTTTTACAGTCTGTATAGTATGGGTTACAATTTCTGGCCCAATGTTCAATGTCGCCTACAATAGCACACCAAAGGACACTATTCGGTAGGGGCCTTTTATTCGGGCGCATCCGTTATTTATGGACGACGTTGAATAATGAATGGAATTGCGGCCATGGAGGGAGCCCAATGAAACAGGCTCCAGATCAGGCTTAAAATACAACCACGGAAATGAAATACGTTAAAATGCGCGGAGCTGCGTGTAGATACGAAGACGAATGAACACCCAACTTGAGTCGCTCCTGTCATTACCACGGTTGATCCAGCGTTTTCGGTATCAGGTTTTGCAGGATCAATCGACGCTGCAGGCGGAGATACTCCTTTGCTTCAACCGACAGTCCAACCTCACTCTGTGTCATGATATCCAGCTCCAGTCGACGCTCCAGCACTCGTGCCATACCAGTGTCGTCGTCGTCACGCCCCTCTGATCCAGCTTGTACTACACTTGCCTTCTGTGGCGTTGAGCCTTCGCTTGCCAAATCCAATTCGACGTAGGGGTTTGCGTACTCGATCCTCTGTCGCATGCGCCTCTCATCTTCGTCGCCCTCGCTCCTTGATCGCGTATTTCCACAAACGGGAGACGTTGGCGTCTTCGGAGATTGTGGAACAGGAGGTCGGCCCCCTTCATCTTGTTCTTCGCTCAGTTCTTCTTCCTCGTGCATCGAGGCAAATTGATGCATAAGTTTTGGCTTGAGATCCTTTCAGTATGTTGCCTAGTTGACAAGTAGCCACGCTACCGCTACATACTCAAACTCTCTCTTCGTAGCTACTCGGAAGGTCTTGACAGCCCACTCGAAAGCCAGAGAAAGCGAAGCATCCGTTGATCTCTTGTATTTCTGACTGAAGAGCGTGACGAAGGCCACCATATTGGGGACGCATGGATTGCCATTGTCTCTGCAGCTCATCAACCGTCCGACGTCCAAACGTTGGCGGCATATTACATACTCAGACCCAACTTGCTTCCAGAACAACTCGACGCTCTGCTCAGCTGGAGGGCCTGATGCCACTGCGATCCACGCCCGCGCCAGACTCATCACTTCCTCGCTCTCGAACGGTGGCAACATTGTGAACCAGATTTTGTTGACAAAAATTACAGGTTGCAGCAGCACATAGTGAAAGCAAGAATAGAACCTTCAACTACAAGTAGTAAATTCGTTGCTTCAACTCAACTTAACAAACCACCAGCCCGCGCTTTACTATAGAATCTATACTCCACGACCATCCTTGTAGATCTGCAAAAGTGTGGAGCCAGCAACTACCCGCTTGCAATTCCAGCACGATTTTCTTCGGTCTGGCGATGATTGAGCTCCAGATTGTAGTATACTGTTTGTGTTAGTTTCAAGGCACTCGACGGGGCAAAAACATGTTTCATATCCAATACAAAACCAACAAAAAATAAGGAGGTGGGCTGTAATCAGCATTGTTTTGGGGCAATACGCTTGTTTCGTGTCGTGATTCTTCTTCCTTCATCATGTCTGATAATCGGTTATTTTGAACAGTTCAGCAATGTCTCTATCAGTAACTCTACTTACTTTTTTTTGCGGCCAACTCTGCCCCGCTAACCAGATAAATGTACACTCCATCTCGAGCGGCCCCCCACCGCCACGAGTAAGTCCACGTAATTTGCCGGCCCATCTTGATTCGCGATGGAACCAAACGCAGGGCTCGTTCCAGCCGTCAATCGCTCCGTTACGTTACCGGTTGATCCACCACGCAGGATATCCTTAATGAAATCCAGTGCATTCGTCACACGCGCATATACCCCTGGTATAATACCGCATTCTTCATATCCAGAGCTTACGACTCCAACGAGTACTCTATCGACGAGAAGAGGACCGCCCGAGTCACCGTTGCACGAGTCCTTCCCGTCCCCATTGCCCGCACATATCACTGAGTCATCTATAACCTGACTGTAGTTGTATGTCTTGAATGAGTCGGAACACTTTCTGTTCGTGACAATTTCGACGTCCACAGCTTGCAAAGTAGAGGAATTGGTTTTGTCAATCAGAAATCCCCACCCAAGCGTTGTGGCGATGGATCCGGGTTCGTTGTTAGATCCATCAGCAGATGTCAAAGGCGCAGGTTGGAATTTAGATGGTGTCTCCAACTTTAGCACTGCTATGTCATCTGTAGCGGCAGATAGGTTGTAGTACAGCTTGTACTGAGGGTGACGAAAAGCCTCAATTACGTGAATCTGTTCGGCGTTTTTAGGGCCCCTTTCCTGACCTTTTATTCGATCCGAAGGAGACAAACACGTCGTGCATATACCACTCCAAGCGATGGCCAGCCGTGAGAACGTACTGAGGTGCAATCAGCGTACCACCACAAAACGTGTCGCGTTCAGGACCTTCGGCACGCACACTCGCTACGTACATGTACTTATCGATTTTCGCATTCGTTCCACCATAGATACGAGTCTCTTCGTCGGGTGTAAGATCAGTCGAAAGCTCGGAGAAGGATAAGCTGCTCACGAGTGTAGCTACCAAACCGAGGAACAATCCAACTTGAATGAATTTCATTGTCACCAAATGCTTTATGTGAGCAACAGGCAGTAGATTTGATCTTGAGCTTGAGAAGGGTGAAGTGAACGTGCCAGATCCGAGAGAAAAACACAAATGAGCGATATTTCTTCGCAGCTTGCTGTGCTCGATACGTAAAGTACTACTTGTATTATATGACGGTACGCTAAATTAGCGTACCGTAATAGGATACAAGTCGCTAATCTAATCGGATAGTTGTGATAGTTTACAGCATCAAGACAGGCTTAAACTTCCACTAACGACAACGTGTATTGCTCGCTACAGAGCTTACATGGAGACGCTAATCACAGAACCCCCAAGCTTATTCACAGATCGCCCTTATTGAACTCAAGCTATTTATGAAGCTGCAAATCTTTAGATCAACTTGATAGATATCGAGGGGGTATCTCACGGGGAGTGTCTGACCGCGTCTGATACAAAAATCGTAGACGCCCGCGACCCCACTTATATACGGACTGAGAGGTCACGACACGGCTATATCTTCTTGACAGTGTCGTGCATTCCATTCTAACAGCTGCGTGCTGGAAAGAATGTAACGCAAGAACATGTATTAAAGCATAAAAACTACAACATTCACTTCGTGATGATTATTGCGCTTGCAAGCTCGTTAGTATCGAGAGGATTTTGGCTCGCGAAGCCGAAGCCTTCTTTACGTTGAATGTGCTCGTCGTCAGCGACGGCATGTGCTCGAGAAGCGACTCTGGACGATGCTTGATAATAAACTTCATTGCGGCATGCATGTAGTGAAGTGCGTACACTGCACAGTCGACAGCGTTAGCCTGACGAGGCTTCGTGACGTAGTTGTATGTGGTTGTTGCAGTAGTGCCGCTGGTATCAGATGCTATGGCCTTAACTAGAAACCATTCGATCACAGCAAAAATATAGTCTGGTTCATGACCACCCCGCAATGAATTCACGTGGTATATGACGGTGCTTTCGCTGTAAAGGGGGCGCTCAACTACCACAAAGCTCCAGTGGTCGCCCATCACAACCGGAAGGATCACGTACGTGTGCGAAATCCAATTAGCTTGCCGGGTTATTTCATCAGCACTCCGTTCTGTAGCCATTCAACAATATACGCGAAATTAATCACTGGTCAGTCTATTCTGACTATATTGATTAGCAGAATAGACTGACCTTTCAGACTTTTCAGAATAGTCTGACCCGTCAGTCTATTCTGAATATATCGGTTACTAGAATAGACTGACGGGTCAATCAGTTCAAAACAGACTGATCTGTTGTTTTACGCACGCTCTAAATGAATTGATCAGTCAGTTTATTATCAACAGCACCATTTTCACATTAAACTGACCGGTCAATCTTTTTTATTTGTGTTCAGAACAGATTGAACAGTCGATGTCTAAGTCACGTACCATTACAACTGACTTGTGTAGGTATCTAGCCTCTTGCTGAATGCATTAAGGGACAAATTGTCACCCTTCCGCGCCAACTCAAGTTTTTCCGCCGCCTCGTTTGGAGAAATGTTATGCGTAGTAGCTGTCTTTGCGATGGCATCATAGTATTTTTTGCGCCGGAGATAGAAGCGAGCTTCTGTCGGGTCTTTCCGCCATTTAGACCCGAGCTTCTCATTTACCTCCGAAATTGACATGTTTCCTGCAAGCCTCACAGAGTACTCTTTCCACAAGTCCACAACCGTCGAGATTGATCTGCTCAGCTTTGGATTACGAGGTTGAAGTGACCGCGGAATTGCACATGATGTAAAGGGCGGCTGCGTTACCGCTGACTGCAGCGGATCATGACCTGAGGTGCTGTCTTCCCAGCTGAGTACAAGCCGTTTTTTTGAGAGAGCTTTTAGTGTATCTATCCCCGCTGCTAGCGCATCCAGCTTGCCGTGTAGAGATTTCATTCCGTTCTTCAGCACGTCCGCAATTTGAGGCACTACAACTGCAAGCGATTTTGTTTCCGACTGTGTAATCGCTGGTATCAACGAATAGAGTTCCTGATCAAAGGATGCGTACTCTGCAATGGAAAACAAACTGTGCTTCCACAATTGATGATTGGGATACTGCCGCCGCAGCACCACAGAGTCTTGGAGAAAGATAACTCGCATGTGACGGAGCATTTGAATGAAGGCAGCTCCAGCAATTTCACGCGTCGAGCTTTGAGCCAGTTGTTTAACTGCAGCCTCAACCTCAGGGTAAACCAATTGTTGTAGCTCAGAGCTTGGAGTAGCAGAACCTCGCTGCAGCCAGTAGCCGCCACCCTTTGTCGGATATCCAGCCCGGGCTCGCATAGCCTTTTTAGGTAGGGATGTAAGATAGCATCCTTCCATCCGCGCTGCATTCCACCTCCCAAGACGCCGAATTTGTTCTTCACTAGCACCAAATGTTTCCGCCAATTTCGCCCCCGATCCTCGATTAGCATGTGTTCAAACGGTTGAATCGATCCCGCACGCTGCGAAAGCTCGCTTGATACGATTTAACTGGGTGTTGTACGAAATCTCCTTCGTTCTGTCACCACCATTAATGAGGTGGATATCGTACCACCTTTCGCGGCATGTAAAATCGGGAAATGGCTCACAATCAATTTGCCAGCGCCAAAAAAGATGGAGCGCTACAGCATTCAATGGGCACACATTCACGTTCTTACATCGCATGGCTGCCCCGTACTCGATGCGGCCATGCTGATTAGTTTTGCCTCGATTCATGATGATCACAAGTGGCGTGCACGTTTGCGAGCCTTCATCCGGTAGCTCCAGTGTCAACATGTCAGGGAATTCAATAAAACGGCGACTCTCGCCCCGTGCAAGAAGTGCATGCCCCAAAAAGAAATCCACACGATCACGCAAAGAAACACCGTCGTTTTGAGACAACCAATAGTCAGTGAGTTGAACCATGTCTTCGACATTATATCCATCAAGAACGGTACCCAGCGCTCGATCTGCGTAGTTTTTTCGCTTGCGCTCAGTTTCCGACCGCTTCAGCGTGTCGAAAAGATCGTGATAGGTCTTCCCACGTGGATGTGGATGGCTATTTAGAAGTAGAGCCTGCTGCAACTTGTACAGACCTATCACAGCTTTGGCATAAGCTTCAACGCCAGCTAAACTGAGAGCTTTAGCATCACCAGCTTTGGTTTTCTGGCGCTTGTTACCACGAGGACGTGCGTCTTCAAAAACGTAACTAGTTTCCCTTCAGTGACAATACAGCCATCCAAATACTTTTTACCTGCACACCACGTTTTAAACTCGGCTTGTTTTGGAGCGTACTGCTTAACGGTGTTGGAAGGGCGCGCAGCGGCGTGGTCTGTGATAATGTCTGTCACCACTTGATGAATTTCTTGAGAATTCGCATTATCATCACGCGTGTACTCGTCCATTTAGACGCTTCGAAACAATCTCTACGGGGGGGGGCTGCGAGTGCTCGCTGTCGATCAGAGACTGGTGAGTTGGCGAAAAGAATTGGTTGCTAGAGGTATTTTACTATAGGATTTATCTATAGAGATACAAAATTGTATACCTCAAGTATTTCGCAGCTACTTTGTCCAATACCTTCAGACCTATGGTTTCGATCGAAAGACGCCGTCCGTCTCGTAGGGAGATACCGAGGGGGTATCTCACGGGGAGTGTCTGACCGCGTCTGATACAAAAATCGTAGACGCCCGCGACCCCACTTATATACGGACTGAGAGGTCACGACACGGCTATATCTTCTTGACAGTGTCGTGCATTCCATTCTAACAGCTGCGTGCTGGAAAGAATGTAACGCAAGAACATGTATTAAAGCATAAAAACTACAACATTCACTTCGTGATGATTATTGCGCTTGCAAGCTCGTTAGTATCGAGAGGATTTTGGCTCGCGAAGCCGAAGCCTTCTTTACGTTGAATGTGCTCGTCGTCAGCGACGGCATGTGCTCGAGAAGCAACTCTGGACGATGCTTGATAATAAACTTCATTGCGGCATGCATGTAGTGAAGTGCGTACACTGCACAGTCGACAGCGTTAGCCTGACGAGGCTTCGTGACGTAGTTGTATGTGGTTGTTGCAGTAGTGCCGCTGGTATCAGATGCTATGGCCTTAACTAGAAACCATTCGATCACAGCAAAAATATAGTCTGGTTCATGACCACCCCGCAATGAATTCACGTGGTATATGACGGTGCTTTCGCTGGAAAGGGGGCGCTCAACTACCACAAAGCTCCAGTGGTCGCCCATCACAACCGGAAGGATCACGTACGTGTGCGACATCCAATTAGCTTGCCGGGTTATTTCATCAGCACTCCGTTCTGTAGCCATTCAACAATATACGCGAAATTAATCACTGGTCAGTCTATTCTGACTATATTGATTAGCAGAATAGACTGACCTTTCAGACTTTTCAGAATAGTCTGACCCGTCAGTCTATTCTGAATATATCGGTTACTAGAATAGACTGACGGGTCAATCAGCTCAAAACAGACTGATCTGTTGTTTTACGCACGCTCTAAATAAATTGATCAGTCAGTTTATTATCAACAGCACCATTTTCACATTAAACTGACCGGTCAATCTTTTTTATTTGTGTTCAGAACAGATTGAACAGTCGATGTCTAAGTCACGTACCATTACAACTGACTTGTGTAGGTATCTAGCCTCTTGCTGAATGCATTAAGGGACAAATTGTCACCCTTCCGCGCCAACTCAAGTTTTTCCGCCGCCTCGTTTGGAGAAATGTTATGCGTAGTAGCTGTCTTTGCGATGGCATCATAGTATTTTTTGCGCCGGAGATAGAAGCGAGCTTCTGTCGGGTCTTTCCGCCATTTAGACCCGAGCTTCTCATTTACCTCCGAAATTGACATGTTTCCTGCAAGCCTCACAGAGTACTCTTTCCACAAGTCCACAACCGTCGAGATTGATCTGCTCAGCTTTGGATTACGAGGTTGAAGTGACCGCGGAATTGCACATGATGTAAAGGGCGGCTGCGTTACCGCTGACTGCAGCGGATCATGACCTGAGGTGCTGTCTTCCCAGCTGAGTACAAGCCGTTTATTTGAGAGAGCTTTAAGTGTATCTATCCCCGCTGCTAGCGCATCCAGCTTGCCGTGTAGAGATTTCATTCCGTTCTTCAGCACGTCCGCAATTTGAGGCACTACAACTGCAAGCGATTTTGTTTCCGGCTGTGTAATCGCTGGTATCAACGAATAGAGTTCCTGATCAAAGGATGCGTACTCTGCAATGGAAAACAAACTGTGCTTCCACAATTGATGATTGGGATACTGCCGCCGCAGCACCACAGAGTCTTGGAGAAAGACCACTCGCATGTGACGGAGCATTTGAATGAAGGCAGCTCCAGCAATTTCACGCGTCGAGCTTTGAGCCAGTTGTTTAACTGCAGCCTCAACCTCAGGGTAAACCAATTGTTGTAGCTCAGAGCTTGGAGTAGCAGAACCTCGCTGCAGCCAGTAGCCGCCACCCTTTGTCGGATATCCAGCCCGGGCTCGCATAGCCTTTTTAGGTAGGGATGTAAGATAGCATCCTTCCATCCGCGCTGCATTCCACCTCCCAAGACGCCGAATTTGTTCTTCACTAGCACCAAATGTTTCCGCCAATTTCGCCCCCGATCCTCGATTAGCATGTGTTCAAACGGTTGAATCGATCCCGCACGCTGCGAAAGCTCGCTTGATACGATTTAACTGGGTGTTGTACGAAATCTCCTTCGTTCTGTCACCACCATTAATGAGGTGGATATCGTACCACCTTTCGCGGCATGTAAAATCGGGAAATGGCTCACAATCAATTTGCCAGCGCCAAAAAAGATGGAGCGCTACAGCATTCAATGGGCACACATTCACGTTCTTACATCGCATGGCTGCCCCGTACTCGATGCGGCCATGCTGATTAGTTTTGCCTCGATTCATGATGATCACAAGTGGCGTGCACGTTTGCGAGCCTTCATCCGGTAGCTCCAGTGTCAACATGTCAGGGAATTCAATAAAACGGCGACTCTCGCCCCGTGCAAGAAGTGCATGCCCCAAAAAGAAATCCACACGATCACGCAAAGAAACACCGTCGTTTTGAGACAACCAATAGTCAGTGAGTTGAACCATGTCTTCGACATTATATCCATCAAGAACGGTACCCAGCGCTCGATCTGCGTAGTTTTTTCGCTTGCGCTCAGTTTCCGACCGCTTCAGCGTGTCGAAAAGATCGTGATAGGTCTTCCCACGTGGATGTGGATGGCTATTTAGAAGTAGAGCCTGCTGCAACTTGTACAGACCTATCACAGCTTTGGCATAAGCTTCAACGCCAGCTAAACTGAGAGCTTTAGCATCACCAGCTTTGGTTTTCTGGCGCTTGTTACCACGAGGACGTGCGTCTTCAAAAACGTAACTAGTTTCCCTTCAGTGACAATACAGCCATCCAAATACTTTTTACCTGCACACCACGTTTTAAACTCGGCTTGTTTTGGAGCGTACTGCTTAACGGTGTTGGAAGGGCGCGCAGCGGCGTGGTCTGTGATAATGTCTGTCACCACTTGATGAATTTCTTGAGAATTCGCATTATCATCACGCGTGTACTCGTCCATTTAGACGCTTCGAAACAATCTCTACGGGGGGGGGCTGCGAGTGCTCGCTGTCGATCAGAGACTGGTGAGTTGGCGAAAAGAATTGGTTGCTAGAGGTATTTTACTATAGGATTTATCTATAGAGATACAAAATTGTATACCTCAAGTATTTCGCAGCTACTTTGTCCAATACCTTCCGACCTAGGGTTTCGATCGAAAGACGCCGTCCGTCTCGTAGGGAGATACCGTTGCGTAGGAGCCATCCGATGGCAAAATGCACAGATAGAAAGACAGTTCGTACGACTGAATGCGATGACTACACTCCTGGACACAATTGTACGGCCACCTCTTCCAATGCCCATAACTCAGTCAATTTTTATTATTTGACGGTGCGGTTTTCACACAAGTTGCAAAACATACTTTAAAATAGCAAGGATGTGCTAACGCTCGCGGTTTTGCACTTTATAGGGAGGCTCACAAACAAAAACGAGCTTTGTCAGGCTGGACACAATTTACGGCCACCATCGGCCCAATACAAAAAAACCTTTGTAAAATAAAACATGTGTCATTTTGGCTGACTAGAAATTTGTAAGGGCTGAGTTTCTGTGGGCGATTAAATGGACACTATGGATCGAAAGCTCAAACTAGTTGCATGGGGGTGTACACAATAGTATTATATGTAACGTGTTGCACTCCCACCTTTGCTTGATCGATATTGATGGAGAGTTTTTAAACGTAAGATCGCGACGACTACACGGTGTTCTCCATTTGATCTGCTATAGTAAAAAAATGCAAATGGGTTTTTCGACACTACCGTCTTACCCCGCATATAAGGCATATGTGCTGTAAATGAATACAACACTGCTTGTGTGTTATATTCGTTTAGAAAGCCTATGTGTTGTACAGCGAACAATTTGTTTGACTTTGGAGAAGCAAGTTTGTGGGTCCTGGAATCTGGCTTGGTTGTTTAGGGCTGGCCCTCCTACGCGATCAGCGTGGGCTCAAACCCGCCTGCGTGCAGCTCACATGATGTTGTGATTGGTAACGGGTCTTTTCTTTCTGTTGTGGCTACGTTTTATACGGAGGTTTTGCTTGTTAATATTATAAATTCTATTATTGTTTTTTTCTTCTTTTTATAAGAATCGCTATGCACAAATGCATTACATGTAATCACGTGTATTATATTATATATCCATCTACTTTCACTGCGAAATATGATCCGGAGCGAACAAAGCACAGCGTTTTCAAAGAATTTTTAACAGTGTACGAGAATTTGTACACCAGCTTATTGTCCTTGTCAACAGTACTTACCTCGATGTCCCAGTTGTGCATATGTGCAGCAGCGTAAAGCTCCAGTTCCCCTGGATCCTCCGTCCCGTTTCGAATTCTATCCAAGTAGCGGTCATCAAAAAGACGTTCGAGATCTTTTAGTGTCTCCATGTATATCGTGAGTTGCGCTGTGTAGTCCAAAATATGTGTCTGAATGCCGTGTAAAAGGCAGCAGAATAAGCTGGACGTGCTGTCGTCCGGCAAATACCAGGTTGGTGTTGCTATATCCAGTTGCTCCCTGTCGTCAGCGGCAACAAGGTCGCTGTACTGCTGGTTCCAACGATCCATGTCTACATCTGCAGCAAGTAAATCACGCAGAGGTGGATGGAGTGCCTTCACGTTGAAGTCTTCTTTACGAACAAGGCCACACAGCGCGAACGCTCTCACGATGCTAGAAGCATCTCCTGTAGCAATCCAGTCCAGCGTCCACTGCACCACCATGTTATATCAAGGGACCTTCGGGTTGCCGGCCTTCGTCTGGAGCATTGGGTCCACCAACGCCTGCCCTAGATAGGTATCATACCGACCTCTGTAGTACGCTTGGTAGCTACGGTTGACTGCCACGTCGAGCGGTTGTAGAAGATTCGTCAGATTCGGTGGTACGATAAGTACAAAAACGTTATACGCTTCAAGTTTTTTGGAATCAGCGAACTTCACGTGGCACGCGTAAGAGTTGATGAGATATAGCACGGGATCGCGGTAAAGCTGCGTCTCTCTTCGGTCGCACACCACCTTGCGGGCATGTTGCAAGAAAATATCGGCACTCCACATTCTAACGTCGACCATAACACCAGGAGGACATGTAGGTTTGTTTTTTTAGCTTTGAAAAGAGAAGATGAGGAGTCAACATCTTTTCATCTCCAATGATCGTAACGGTGGCCGTCAAGCGACGATGACTTGACCCTCCTTTTCGAAGCAGAACCTCACGGGAGTTTCGACTCGTTATTGTTGACTTTGGCTCCGTCTCGAAGTATCGCGGAACCTGGTCCATATTAATGATATTCTTGCTCTGAATACTGTGCTTTTCGATGAGATGCTGAGCCTGTTGAATGAAATCGCGGCAAATTGGTGGTGCATTCGCGGGAAGTGATCTTGAAGTTGTCTGACGACGTGAGACGAGGTTTCTACGACGCTTGAACCTGGCTAGCCACCCATAGGAGGCCTCAAAGTATAAAATAAGAGAATAAAGCCACGTAACAGCAGCACCGACACGTTTGTTCAGAAGGGTGGTTGGTTAAAAGCTGTCAAGAGTATTCATTGGCTGGTACAGCCTTGTGTTTTAAGTAGGTTTCAGTCACATGGGTTCTAATTAGGTAGGTGGTTAAATTGAGGTTTAAGCTAGATGTCGAGCGAATCCCGCAAATAATGTAGAACACGTATGCCTTATATGGGGGGTAAGACTGTAGCTAAAAATTCTCCATCAATATCGATCAAGCAAAGGTGCGAGTGCAACACGTTACATATAATACTATTTTGTACACCCCCATGCAACTACTTTGAGCTTTCGATCCATAGTGTCCATTTAATCGCCCACAGAAACTCAGCCCTTACAAATTTCTAGTCAGCCAAAATGACACATGTTTTATTTTACAAAGGTTTTTTTGTATTGGGCCGATGGTGGCCGTAAATTGTGTCCAGCCTGACAAAGCTCTTTTTTTGTTTGTGAGCCTCCCTATAAAGTGCGAAACCGCGAGTGTTAGCGCATCCTTGCACTTTTGAAGCATGTTTTGCAGCATGTGTGAAAACCGCACCGTCAAATAATAAAAATTGACTGAGTTATAGCCATTGGAAGAGGTGGCCGTACAATTGTGTCCAGTAGTGTAGATAAGGATGCACGGAGATATTTCCCGTTCGGCCCTGATTGGCTAAAACCCTCCAGTTCTGGAAAGCCGACATAGACCGCCTGCACAAGGCTCTAAAGCTCGAGGAAGACTACAAATTGCCAAGCCGTGTTCGGGTTGGTGGCGTCGAAGGACTCTATTTTTTGTTGGGCAGACTAGCGTATACAGACCGGTACGGTGATCTCGCCGTCATGTTCGGCAGGTCACCTACCGCGCCATGCCTCTTTTCCGGTTTATGGTGGACATCATGTACGCTAAGTCCGCCGATCGCTTGCGCTCGAGTGCGGAACTTTTAGTACTTCCCGATGCGAGGTTTAAGCGGAGGCTACATCCGCACCAGGAAGCCTGATTAAGGGATGCATCGGCTTCAGGCGGCACCGTTCATGCTATAGCTCGCCCTGCTCACGACCAGCGGTAATACTACAACGGACGTGAGCATGCATTGAAGCACCAGGGAGAAATTACTCCAGACGGCATCTTTATCGACTTTTACGGTCCTGTGGCAGACACCCGCCACGACATCTACCTGCTACAGGAAAGTCTTGCGGCGCTTCCAGGCTGCGCATTCGGAGGCCGGCCGTTTATTTGGGGACCTTGTATACCCCAAAAGGCCAACGCTACAGACTGGGTACAAAGGGTCACGTCTTTGGCGAGTCCAGGAAGCGCTAATGTCGCAATGAGCGTTATCTGGGTTGCTGTAGAGTGGGGGGGTTGGTGGCATAACACGACTGTGGCCGTACGTGGATATGAAGGTCCTGTCTAAGGTTCTTTTTTCCCTATTGGTAAGTACTACTTTGGTCGCGGCTTTTCTGACTAACTCTAGAATTTGTGTAAACTTTAGAATTTGTGTAAACACAAACCAAATTAGTCGCGGTTTTGGTGTTACACCACCTACACTAGAAGTGTATAAATCACTTCTGGGACCTACTGAGACAGGCGAGCCGTGAGTGCCCTCAAAGGATTAATAAACGCCATGCGCTAATTCGGCTCTAAGCTTAAGCGCTCGCGTTCTAAAGCAAAGCGATTCGCTTCATTTGTTATATTTCTTATTTTTAGAGCACGTGGGAACTCGTCCCTCTCTTAACGTGCGCCAGTAGCTCAATAAACGTGTCGTGTTTTCTTATTGTTCCTCTTATCGCTATCATCGCCTCATCACGCAAGGCGTCGGCATGCTCGTCGTTGCGCTGCTTGGCCGCCTTTTCCTGCTTATTGTCATCTCGGGCAGCCTCTGCGTACTCGAACAGCTCGACCACGTTGGTGAGCAAGTCGTCCCGTTCAGTGAGCTTTTCTTCAATGCCGCTGACAGCTGCGCCCTTGGCCATATTGTCCTTGGCCTCGGACAGAAGAAGCGTACAGCGCTCCCGGTAGCGCCTTGCATCCACGTCGAGCCCCAAAGCGGACGGCACCGTCATTTAAGCGGTCGTGCGATCACCACGCTCCACTTGAAAGGGATTGACAGCCAGTTATTTCTGAGAAGTGCCATAACATCCCCGTCGTCAAAGCGAATTTGTGTCTTGCGCTTCTGGTCGGGTGAGGGAGCTCGATGGTTCAATATCTTGTTGTGAGTTGTGAGGTGCTTGTGCTACCAGCTCCCGTTTTACAGGCAAAACCTAAAGCACCATGATTTTGGTAAATTTGTATACAACGCTTTGTATAGCGAGAATAAGGTGTGGCGAGCATTCTTCACGTTGCTACAGATATACCACGAGCGCGTATGTCTCGACTATGCTTAGGCTTGAAAAATAAAGCGGGCGGCAGATGCTCGTTGCTTCGAGCTAAACCATTCTAAGATCCTACACTAGCGGCCGGTACACAAGCTAAGGAAAGTTCAGCAAATCACGGATCACCGGGGAGCTCCCTTTGCTAGTCGGTGGTTGGGCGCAGGTCGGAAGTTGGATACAGATTTTGCTGATCCCGGTACACCACACTGTTCACATCCTGATCTGTCAGATGATTTATTGCGAGCCGTAAGCATCCATCATTTGGTCACTCTGAGCATCGAGAGAGCGCCAGCTCTTGTCGTACGGCCTTGCTAAACCTGTTGGGTAGTGCCTTGTTCACGTTCACCGTTTTCAATCGCGTTAGAAATGCCTTAAAATACACAGTAGCACAGTTGTTAAACGATGCAGGAAGGGTATTCTAAAAGTTTGGACGCTTGTACCCATGAGCAAAGATCGCAAACAACGTCGAGTTTTGGTGTCTCATTGTAAAAAGCTCTCGTGGTAATCAGATCTCTTTCAGCAGGTGTGCCCAACCTTTTGATAGACACTCCCATATTGCAAGCATCACGCTCGCTAGGCCGTGCCTTTATGTACGTGTTGATTCCCGCAATGTACTTTATAAGTAAGTTTTGTTTTTGCAATACGATGGTGTTTGTTCTGCTGAGCATTCTGGCTCTGCTGTACAATTGACGTAGCACTCCAGGAAGGTAAGTCCGCCTCCTCAATGCTAGCAAGAACTGGTAAAGCATTCGTGACGTTGAGACTGTGAGAAATAGTTTTGCGTGCCAGGGCCAAATCCTTCACAAGAATTGCTTCCAGCAACCAATTCAGCCTTTCAGATTCTTTTGGCTTCACGTCTTTGCTTTAGCCTGACTTTGGTCCTGCCTTTGCACTTGACGCTCGCACTGGCAAGGAAGATTCCTGGTGTTAGCGACAAATCAGCATTTTGACCTCCGCTCTCCGGTGCATGATCGTCATCCTCTCCGGAGCTTGTACAGATTGTTTGACGCTTCCGATGTTTTAAATTCCCAGGAATCGCTCCATTATTTGCCTTGTGTTTCTCGGTAAGCCCACGCGCTTTTTCAACTTCAGATTGTTGCTCATCAATGTGCTGTCGCTTAATTTCTGATTGGCAGTGGTCACCGGCTAGCTCGCATCTGCTATTTGCGAGACGTCGCTGTCTGCGGATACCGCATCCGTCAGCTGATGGAGTATTCTGTGCCGGATTCAGCAAGCAGTTGATCGGTCGCTGGTGTCCCAATTTCTACTTCGCTTGTCTTCATCGGTCACTTTGTTCGCGATTTGTCGGTATTAGGAGATTTGCGCTTTGCGTCCGCGTTATTGGCACCGATTGTACATGATTTCCGTCGCTTTCAGGTCTCGAGAGTAGCTGGCACTGTTGATTCTGCATCAGCGTCGTCTGAGTCGTCGAGTTCAGCGACAAAATCTTTCACAGCGGAAAGCTGCGGTGCATCGTACACACTCTGCTCACAATTATCAATGGCCGGAATAGCACATCATTCGCATATTCGTTAAATCTACGCTGCATCCCCCATTCCGAGACACGTCTTAGTTCCTTGGGAGCTTATCAGCTCCACAACGCGTTCTGCAAATATCTATCGCAACTTTTCACTTCGTAGAGCCGATTAGAGTTGTTTGCTCCGTAGACTCATCATAGAATTCTGGATTCGTGATTCGGAGCTTGGCATTCGATGCATCATCTTCAGGTCTGTTTGCGTCTGCTTCTAGTTTCCAGACTTCGTATTTCCTGTTAGTTGCCACCTATGTCAGCTGAGCAGTTTCACTTGCGATAGAACCTCCCTCGGATAGGTCGTACTTTTGTCGGACAAGCGCAGAGGTGTGCGAGCTAACTAATCCAGCCAAATACAATCGAATGTCCTTGGTACCTCAGTAGTGACGCGATCCTACAACGTAAAAATTAGCTGCAAATGTCAACGCCGCTGTCGATATCAAAACGTGGAGTGTCTCGACACATTCATCCAACTCCATTTCAGTCTTGAGTATTGCCTTGAGGCACTCTAAGCTATAGCTGTCAACAATAAAACAAATCACAAAATTGGTATTACTCGGTTACATCTCAAATCTAACACTTCTCCGTTGCAGACATTTAAGTTAAACTAATGGTGCGATTTAGCTAAACGAGCTCACTATGGAAATCCCTGCCTTAGCTCTATAAAACAGTATTTTCTGGTAGATCATAGTCAAACAGCAACGAAGTACAACGCAAAAGAGCGTCATTCGTTTTGACGGGGGGGGGGGCGTCTGGTTTCGCAGTAGGCTTCCCAGTGTTGAAAATTTGCTGAGGTTTTCAGGAGAGATCGTTTTTGCTACGGTCTTACAAGATGTGAAAATAGTTTTTCAAAAGCTGCTGTCTGTGCCGTGTGCCTGAAAAACGCTTTTGACCAGTTTTATCTATGTATTTACAGTCTGGCAAATTTTAGATCTTGCAAAAGGTGAAAATAAATAAAACAAGGTGTGTAGAAAAACGTTCATTATGAAATAAAAGATATTCAGATGTACCTTGCATCCTCCAAACTTGGTAGGCCAGCTGCCTGGTTATTCCGAAGGCTGCAGCGGCTTTTGTATAGGTCCCTCTAGGTATTTTGTCGTCTTTTAGGAGCTTTGTCAGCCAAATGACAATATTTAGACGGTCATTGACGCTAAGTTGCTTATGTTTGAGTCGGAGGGTTGGAGGGGTAGTCATAGGAAAAGTGCTTGTGCTGCTCGGCGTAATAGTCTTAGAATGGGTCCCTGATTTTCAGTCGAAATCGATTTAACACAAGCGATCAGACGGCAGCACATCATGCTTATTTGCACAGCTGACACGTCGGCAGCCACAAGTTAAAAAATCGCAAATCTCTATTCTTAGCCTAATAATAGCCAATGATATCATGTATTTTTCTGCGGTCGCTCGTTGCGTTATATTTTAGATGGAACAGAGTGGTAACACAAATTGTTTTGCGAAAGTAGCGACGGCGTACACACCGATTGTGACGGGGTCACACCGCACCTTGCGCTAGAGGAAGTTGGCTTCTGAGAGCTTACAAACTCTCAGTGAGCGGCAGTTCATAGGTCCCTTTTACCTAAAGGGAACGAGGTCACCAATTTAAGGTAGGTTGTAAACGAAGTATATTTATAGGTAGGCTAAGCATGAGTTAAATCTACAAGCTATAAGTCACCTATATAAAAGCAATGTCATCAGCCAATGGCTGGCCTCGGACGACTCTGGTACCGTGTACCAAATATCCCGAAGTATGACGTGTCATACTTCAGAAGTGCGACGTGTCACTCTTCATGAAACTAAGGGTACACTTAGGACGCACCCTATTACATCTTCCTCCACTTAGGTTCGGCTTACCGACCAATCAGAATGAAGAAGTGTACGTCACAAACTTTCATTCTCAAAGTCGAAATACATCGACTTGGCTGCGCGAGCGCGGCGGGGGCTCACTTCACAGTTAGAGCCTCGAGCAGCGG